TGCAAAAAAAAGACATTTTGAACAACCTAGATGGGAAAATAATGTTATAAAACAAATTTACAACAAAGAAAAAAAAAGCTCGATGTACACCTAAGCACCTTTTATGAGTTGTGAATGCAAAAGTATGCAAACAGCACGTCCTCTCCCTTTATTCGTCTGCTCTTTACTTTTCGTCGCCGGTCAGCGAGCGCGCTCTCCTGGGCGGACTGACCTTGGACGCGCCGTGTGAACGGCGCGCTGACAGACACCCAGCGCCATGTCGCTGAAACTGACGCGCAGCGGCCAGTGGGAGCCTCGTCGACGCGCGCCAGCCAATGGGACAGAAGCCGAAAATCCATCAGCTTAACTCCGCTCCTTTAGGGGATCGGGGAAACTAGGTGCCGTTGCCTAGGTTTTTCGCGTGGTTTCATTGCTGGGAGCAGGCTTCACTTGGAGAACGGATTTAAGGTGCTGTTTTCGCGCTTCAAACTGATGACGTCGGCTCAATCTATGGTACAGTTAATGATTTCGCATTAAAATTACAGCTATATTTACGGCGCAAAACGACTTTGCAGTTGGCTCCCATGGGAGCCGCCGCGAGGCTCGTGGTAGACCTGTGCATCGTCGCGCTGCGTCGCCGCCGCCTCAAACTCACGCAGCGGCCGCACGTGAAAGTGGTGCGCCGACGGTTTAACGCATTTCTCCACGCCGGCGCCGGTGTCCCAGGGCAAGTTCGTCTGCTCCGAGGCGCCACCGCCGTTATCTGACCGGCGCACATGTCTATCGCGTCTGCTTGAGCATTTTCAGGAGCCTCCTTTGGGCTCTAAAGGCATACTTGTTAAGTAATCCGTTACAAGTAACAGATTACTTGTAATCCGTTACTTTTTTAATTAATTTTGTAATTGCCACGTTATTCTTTTAAAGGTAATTTGTAACACAATTTCATTGCGAAATATTGATAATGGCTACTTTATTCACTCGTTACTTTAAAAAAAAAACTATGAGCATAATGGAGTAACTGGAGCAATACAAACTGAACATTCAGCAGCATAAAGCAAGTTCAACAAAATAGAAAACATGAGGAAGGAGAGAACAGCCGAAAAGAAAACACGATATTTTGTATGACCGTCCATTAGAACCACTAAAAAACGGACATGCATAATTAATAGAAATACAAAGATCAATTAAGACAATGCCGAGTAGGCTCTCCATAGCCTTCCATCGTGTTTTCCTTCTTCTCCCGAGCAGAAGAAATTCTCTGCGTGTTTATTTGGTTTTGTTTTTTGCACCGTTTCACACTTTCCATCTTTTTTGACGTCTCCCACCACCTGCACAGAAATCAAACGCGGGTTCGTACCCCTTCGATTCATGGGTTTACAACTCGCGTAACAGAAGATGTAGCCTCGCGCGAGGGGGTCAAATTCTCGTTGTCTTTGATGTGCGTTACTTCATTCTTGCACGCTCTTGATGCACTGCTGAAAAGCACCCGGCGCGAGGCTAAGAGCATCATATTCGAGGGTATGGACGATACTACTTTTGGTTTACCTGTCTGGGCATGGTGGTCGAGTCCACTCCTCATACCATAGCCGTAGACTTTGGGGGGGGGGGGGGGGGGACATCGGGGCTCGTGCCCTCCGCCCGGGCCTTGATCCTTACTGAGACGCTGTTTACGGGCCATGTAACGATCTTCTAGTAGTGGCATGTAAACAAAATAACGCCCACGTTGCCTATATCGACAAAATACATGGGAAATGGAATCCCAGCGTGCTTTCGTTAGCTTCTACGCCGCTGCTTCACACTACAGTCAACTGTTAACATAAAAGGGGGGGGGGGGGTAAGGTCCTCTAAGAAGAACTGACAGAGAGAGAGAGAGAGAAATGCGTAAAAGTGGTGTGATCCTCTATTGTTTTGTGAGACCAATGGCCACCGCTTCTTTCACTTTCTATGCCCCCCCCCCCCCTCCCCTGGCCTCCACGAATATTGGCATGAAAGTGAGAACCGATGAACGATCGATAACCCGTAACTGCCACTTTTTCTCCGACCGGTCGAGTTTTTGGAACATCTCTGATTCAGCTGTTCAAAATTCATGACATTAACGAGAACATGCAGAAACCTAGAGTTTAAGCGCCTACTTTGCCTGCCAAAATAACACACATTGTCATCACCAAGAACAACGAACTCTTGTCTACGGAAGCACATCAGGGTAACCTGGAACACCTGCATTCTGCATTGGCTACACGTTCTAACGTTAGAGCCAAGTTTTTCTTTCTTTGTGAAGAACAGGTGAAAACCCGAGTCAAAAGGAAGCTTTCGTAGATCGCTTCTTTAGCTCCGAATCTCGTAGCGGAGGTAGACGGTGCTACTGAGCACACGGACCGCTAGCTTTGTCTGCACAATTCCAGGGATCATTTCCGGAGGCCATAAGCTAGCGAGATGGTGGGTGTGGTTGTAGCTTTCGCTGTCTTGTCAGCTTACAGGTGAACAGACTGCACCTACACCTTTTCTCCTAAATATAATATTTTATTTTTACAAGGACTACCATAATACGGGCGTATGAGGAATAAACAGTAGTGTTGCAGAACATTTTTGAAAAATATTAGAATTGTTCTTATTCTTTTCTTGATAAGTGTACGGAAAAAGAAAAGTGAAAGTAATTTGTAACGTAACGAGTACATTAATCCGTTACTTTTCAGAGAAAGTAATTTGTAACGGTAATTCATTACATTTGAGGCTCGGTAATTTGTAATTGGAATCCATTACATTTTTCAAGTAGCGAGCACAACTCTGTCTAAAAGTTACTTATTAATGTTCGTTTCTTGTTGCACTTCGAACGAAGAGGAATAGGTACCCTTTCGAGACCATAGGAGAATTCTGAAAGAGCGGAAGCACCATGTGACAAATAGCGACCATTTAGGTAATAAATAGAGGGAACTTTTCTGCGGTGGCCGCGGGCGCCAACTGCAAATTCGTATAGCGATATAAACATAGCTCTTACCATTTTCTTTTTCGATGTACATTCGTTTTATGTTTTTTTTTGTTATTTTTTTTTCCAACAAAGGCTGTTAAAAAATATTCCGATTTCCTTTCCGTGTGCCGTTTAAAATAACAAGTCGCATCCTTTGCAGACCCGTTAAAACTATTTTGATGGGTTACGTGGTTTTCGGGATAGATCGTGGCAAACTCCTCCAGGCCTATCAGAAAACCATTACGGACCTATATACACTATATACTTAAAGGTTTTGGAAATATTTCTGGGCCCCCATAAGATTTTTCAATAGCGCCGGCAGTTACCACCCATTGTTCTAATTGTTCTATTGTATGCCTCAAAGACCTCGCGGCACGATACGTGCGGTGGTGCCTACTCTTGCAGGAGTTCGGCTTTGCGATAAATTACAAGTAAGGGCGGAAACACAACAACGCCGACTGGCTGTCACAGGCCTATATCACGATGGACATAGACGACGGCGATGTTATCCTCGGGGCGCATAACAACACGCATATGGCGGTTCGGCAGCGGCGCGACCAAGACCACCGCGAGCTGATAGCGCAATTGGAAAGCAAAGAAAAGGGTGTTCCCCAAAGCCTTTGGCAGTGTGTTCTGCACAAGAATAACTTTTAGTCTTGAAAGTGACCATGGATCACGGTTGTGCCGTCAGACCGATGTGAAGAACTTTTCGAGGCTCGTCACGACAATCCCGCCGACGGACGTCTTCAACGATCGCACACATTCGCGTGAAGTACTGCTGGGCGAAGCTCCCAGATTCCCTCTGTTAATACATTAGAATATATCAAGAATGCTAGTTTCAGAAAACGCCACCCAGACAACATGACAAATTTCAGCTTGTCGCAGCGTCAGGAAAAACCGTTTCAGCAGACGGGCATGAATTCGCTCAAGTTCGTTTCATACATCCACGGCCATAAACAGGTGAGCTACAGAGGTCACAGACTGTTTGACGCGATACCTTGATACAAAGGCCCTATATAATCTGCTGTAGATGCTGCCAAGTTTGTTTTAGAGTGTATTATTGTACGGCACGGCGCCCGACAAGGCCTACTCACCGAACTCGGGTCCGCTTTGATGGTGCAGATAACGCTATAGTTCCTTCCTTTAAGTCACACGAGCCATCGCAGGACAAGTGTATACGATCCGTACACAAACGAAAGGTCTGAGAGACTTAATGAGATAATTGCTAACATGACTGCCCTGCACAAAAATGTGGAGCACAAAACGTACAATTAAGGGCTGCCCTACAGTACCTTTGCGTACTAGATTGCGGTTCAAAAACACAACCGGGAGCGCGCCGTTCCAGCTTGTACACTGCGGGTAACTTACCACCACGTTCGACGTCCTTCCTCAGGAGCCAATTGGCCATGGCAGCCACTAAATAAAGCAACGACGGCGCTCAATTTACATATGAGAGTGCTAAGGAGGTTTGTCAACTGGCAACGGTCAATGTTTGAGACCATCAGAAATCCGACGCAAACCGGAACAACGTTTGTCGTGGCGTAGTACACTTTGAGCCCGGAGGCCAGATTTGAGTTTGGACTTCGATACGGCGCCGCGGTTTCAACGAAAACAATAAAAAACAAAACTTTGAACCATACAAGGTTCTTTGCCACATACGCACATCATTAGATGGCACTGATGAATCCATTTAGCCGACGCGCAAGTAACTCTATTAAGAGTTCTGCACTGATGTCCAGATGCCATTTCGTGCGAACGGCGGCGATGGCAGGAATGTTGTGACTACGAAACAAGAATTGGTGTTCGTGAAGACAAGTGTAACACCGAAATTCATAATCAAATGATGATCAAACTGCAGCCCTTAAGTGTTATTAGATGAGGAGGCTGAATGCAACGATATTTTTATTAGTCATGTGCAAGTTTTTCAAGGCAAACACAAATAATAAACAAACACCTCTATATTTGCATTGGTGTAGATTTTTAGCCATATTTCAAGCGCAACTTTAAACGTTAGCGACTTCGCGAATCCATGGATACCGTCCATCTGCCCGTCCTTTTATTTAGCGCATGATTTCAGAGTTAACGGGTTAGCAAAATTGAACTGGACACGCGTGCATCTTCCGCCGCAGCATTCCTATAAGAAAAGAAAAAAAAATAATTTTATATTCTAATCTAAACAAGTTTTTCCACCGAATATGACGACGCTGTCTATATTGACAGACACCAATACGGAGTGAACATACCAACCATTGTTCTTTTTATTGTTATTTACTCGAACTGTGAGTGGTTACAACAATTAGTTATGAACGCGTTGAAGGAACTATGGATCATGTTCTTAATGAATGTTTAGAATTGTTTTTGGAACCATGAACGCGGTCCGTGCGGGTGAGATAAACGGCCAGGTGTATAAAATATATGGTCTAGTAGTCACGATAAATCTATCACCTAAAATTTCCGAATTAACTTTTATAATATTTAAACTAATCGTATGCATAGCACCAATCAGAAACGTGCCGAGCGTCATCGAGATGCACTAAATAAAAAAATGCAAAAATATTTGGAGCGCACGAAACTTTGCTCTCATTCGCGCAGCACGTGGAAGGCGTTTAATGCGAAAACGTGGATGATTAGGACTATCATTTGCGCTCTCCATTGCCCGACTGATAACGTGGTTTTTGATGGCGCTCAAAAACGTTCTAACCAAAATCATAGGTTCACTTTATTAATAAAACGTTACATAACGAATCATTGTGAATCAATTGACTTATCTTAAATTATTTCACAAACTTCAGTACACTTCTGCGGTACGCGATCGAAGCCTTGACTTTCTTTGTAATAACCTAAATTCAGCTCGAAATCGCCGTGCTCGTTTTATTTTGTCTTACTACCATCATGAATAAAAGGTTTCATTAACGAAAGCTACTTTAAACCTTTATCCTCTCTCTGTGCGGAGAAAAGTTTCTAGATTACCCCTTTTTTATAGGATTTATCATCAAAATCATAAACTGAAAAGTGAGTTGTTTTAGAGCCGTCATAATTGTCATCCCATGCGGAGCATAGTCATAAGGTGGGTTTCCCTCATTGTCGCACTAACATGTACTTTTTTTCATTAATACTGAAACAAGCAACAAATGGAACCACCTGGATACCTCAATCGCCACCATAACAGATTCTCATTTTCAAAACTGCCATTGAAGCTTTTTTTGTCATATTAACCCGCTTTTTTATTTTCTTCTATTGCACATGTGACGTTTTTGTTTGATTGTTATAACAAATCCCTTCCTTAGCGCATTCGGACCTTTGAGGCATTGAAATAAATGTATAAATAAATAAATATTTAAATAAAAAAATATCGTGACAATTATTTTAATTGCTTCCTCTGCCACATAGCCCACCACAAAATGCGTCAATGTAGTTTTATTACTTCTTTAAAGCAAATCTCTAAAGCAAATAAAACACCCTGTATATTTCACAGATTATGTTACACATTTATATACCTCGGCTTTTTTGGAGAATAAGACAGTAAAGACGCTAGTTCGCCTCTAATTACTAAACATTCTTGAAAACCATTCCACAAGTATCGAATGTGTAGCACGTCACTACAATATATTAGATTTTATATCTTATTTCGAGGAATTACCACCCGTGGATGCATTTTATGTAATACGCACCAACTATTTCTCGGAGAGTTTTTAAAAATAAAACAAAAGTATTGCAATGGGCTAAGCGTAATACCGTACAGTGAATATACAGCGAAAGAAGTGCCTCAGAGAAAAATGGCACTATAAGCAACTTGCAATGGTTTGGCGCAAACTAGCGAGTAAAGCGAAAAAAACAACATTTGGTATGACTGGAAGTGGAGGCAACAATCTTAAAAGTTGAGCTAATAATCCGTTGGGGCCACATAATCCAGTCTCTGAAGCAAGAAATATTGGGTCGGCCAGGAAGCAGTGGTCGCATAACATGCAACTACTGCGGAAGCTACAGCCCTGGCGGGCCAATCGGAATATGGCTACCTATCCCTGGAGTTACTGCATACTGCGAAGATGCATCAGGCTTTTCGCTGCCTCCTGCTCTAATGCGTTGCGCCAAAAATAAATTGCCCAGTCTTTTACACATAGTGAGAAACTTGATTGATGAAAACTATGGCCTCTTTTTTCAGCTAGAATTTGATGAGCTTTTGCAAGTACCTACTGATACCATAAAACGTCATGTAATAAGGGCTAGTGGAAACAATCATATAATAAAATTTAAAAAAAACAATGCCGTCATTTTAGCTCCAAAGATAGAAATCTTGACCTTCCAAGTTATATTTATTTAAACTCCTCGCCTATTGAAATAGGTAGCATGTTTAAAACTTTGGAGGTGATTTTCACTAATCACATTAGTCGGACTTAACATGGGGATTACATCAGTTCGAAAATACCTTGTGTCAGTGCTACATTAAACAGACATCGCCATGTCATTCCAACTGGAGATAGTTCTTTTTTTTTTTTTTTTGTATAACTCAGTATTCGAATCCCTTTTGAAGTACTGCCATCTCCTCTGGGGTATGACAACCAAACTAGTCTCCAAGATGTATTATTTCAAAAAACAGTGATAAAAATTGTGTGCGGCGTGCTTTATTGTGATGATACTAAATAACTTCTTGGGAGGCTAGCTGTTTTATAAATACTGAAAAAAACTGCTTTTTTGGTACTTTGTATGAAGTATGAAGAAAAATATTATGAGTCGAATATCCTCTTAGTCTTTTTGGCACCACTTTGAAACAAACCTTTAACATACTCCACTGGTTACTCAGATATCTTTGTAGTAGAGGCATCACGCGAAGATTATGATCATAAGATGATTAGAAGGACCTTGCGGACATTACTGAACCTGATTGTGCGCTATAATTTTGATATAGAATTATTTAGCACACGTGATAATACGGAAAAAATTGTGTTTTGAAAATAAATACTTTATATTGTAATGATTATGCAGTAGACTTTATTATTGCTTTACTTAATTGTTTGCTATGTGTTTGTAGTTGATGATTTATTGAGTGTGTTTTTCGCAAGTGGTGTGCACGTGCGTGGGGCTGAGGACCAGTCAAACTGCTTGTGCGCCTTCTTTCCTCATCTCCCGCCATATCTATATGGTAAATGAAGCTATGAATATTTTGGAATCATCTGCCAATCAACATATTCCTGAAAGATTATGTAACACATTTTCATTAACTCATGCACCGTGATAATAATATCTAGTTTTTTCTTGTGTACTCATATGTATTTTGCTTATAGTTTTCTTATATATCTTTATAGCTAGTTTATAAAATGTTTGAAATGCTGTCACGCTTACATTTTTGTTAATAAATGCATTTTTTATTTTATAAACTCATCCCTTTAGTAATTTAATGAATAAATAAATAGAGCATAAATGTTTGCACAATCAAAAAGCTCCACGCACCATAGAGAAAACTAAATAAGAAAACAGGGCTATTCATGATACTGAGGCAAGGAAACGCAACGAAGCTCTTAGTTCTGAAGAAAATTAGTCAAATAACGTTGAAATAAAACGACGGTACGCTCCACAACCAGACAAACTGACAGCCTTTTTTCATAGGATGTAAAGAAAAAAGAACTTGCACATATTATTCCTGTGTTTGATGAATCATGCAAAATTTTTCTAACACCCTTATTTTAGAGATCATAGTTGATACTAATTTGGAAGTTAAAATACCGTAACAAACTACAAGTTGAACGCAAGAACCTACTTAGCATTCTCAGTAGCAACAATAAATTATTTGCCCACAGCTTGCTGGTCGCGTTCAAGATGGGATAACCACAATCATAGGAGACCACCAAACCGGTTTCATAAAAAGAAGAAAGGTATAAACAAACATATGTATCGTGCGGTCTATAGCTTGGCCATGCAATCGAACCTCACAAACAGCTGTGATAATAAAAATGCTACAAATTGACCTTGCAAAAACCTTTCCCATAGTGGAACAGTTCTCTCTTTTTCTGAATTATGAAATATGTTTATATACGCGAAAACATTCTTAAGGGCCTGCAACTTTTTTACCATATCTCAGCAAAATATTCTTTACGGAACATTCTCAAGATTCGTTCAGGCTTAATGCTCGGTGCGCAAGAATGACCTCTCTCGCCAATTCTCTTCGAGATATATTTGGAGCTCCTCTGCAGACACATCGCAAGCAACAGCATGGTGCACGGTTCTTACTTCCATGGTTGTGAGGTGAAGGTCTTAGCTTACGCCGGCGACCTTGTGATTGTGGGCGCGGATAAATACAACATAGTACAAGCAATATCGTGCAATTCAGATTTGTGTGCTTTATCTCGTTGGTTTTATTTATTTATTTATTTATTGAAACACCTTAAAGGTCCTTGTTGGAAGGAGATTACATAGAGGGGGGGATAAGTACAGCATATATGAAACACACAAAAATTATAAAATAAAAACATGCACAGCAGTGCAAACATATACATTATTGTAAATCAAGCAACAAAAAATAAAATCTTCCACAGTATTGCCAACATACAAGGAATCGTGTCAAACAATACCTAAATGGCTGCTGATCGTAGAACGAGAGTTATCAGGATTAATCTCGGTGACGATGCGCTCTGTTAGATAATTCCACCACACTGCTGTTTTTTTGAAAGAAGGAATACGAAAACGAAGAAAAGCGGCAGGTGAAATGGTCAATCTTACATGAGTAATTAAGACGAGGTGAAACAAAATGCGACTGTGTTAGGGTGTCTTGGCTGAGAGGTGGTGCACAGTAAATGCGATGAAAAAGGCATAAGCAACAAAAGCTTGCGTCTTAAGGCCACTTCTGAATGTCGGCTTTCTGTTTTAATAAGGTGACGCTGGAATGTCGAGAATAATCAGAAAAAATAAAGCGCGCGACACGGTTTTGAAAGGCTTCTATTTCAGTGATCGAATATGCTTGGTAAGGATCCCATTTGCTCGATTCGTACTCAATTTTCGGTTGAATCAATGAAAGATATGCAGTTTTGTTTAAGTGAGGAGAAGCACAACGAAGTGTATGTTTTAAGCAGCCCAAAGAAAGATTGCACGATTATAACAGTGACCGAATATGTACCTTCCAGGAGAGATACGAGTCGACGT